TTTATACGGAACAGAACGGCGGTTACCCAAAGGATTTCTGAGATCTTTTAAAAGTTTGAAATTTGGGTGGCGGTGGCAGTGCTATGAACGAAACAATCAAACTGAAAACCAATGTAATGCCCGCCGCCGCCGCCACCACCACCACCACAATCTCGAAAAGATAGAAAAATCACGTGTCTTGATTGGATGATCCGTATCCCCTTTCTCCGTTCTCCATCAGCAATAAAAACAGATGAATTCTCCGAAATGCTCATCCGATGCGAAGTGTGTAAACATAGTATACCATGGAATCACTTCCCGTGATATAATTCATACCTGGAGTTACTGATCAAACAAATGTAACTCCCCGGAGTGCGCCAATGTGCACACTAAAGTACTTCGTGGATCAGCCGATCCAAAGTGCAACCTTTATGACGTATGAAGGTCTTCATAAAACACAGAAGTACATTTTTGGCCAAACACGTTCGTATACTAATACGTTTGTGCAGATCAGATCACGATAACCGAACAGCAACAACGGGGACGGACTTAATCAATTAGGCTAGCGATATTATTCAGATGTTTCCAGTTGATTTTATCAACCAATCGCAATCATGTGACGAACTTGTACATCATGAAGATCGTTAGGGTTGGGTCCAGGAGCTTTGCATCATTTCATTTACCAGAACTTGATAAGCATTTTCCATGAGGAGTTTGGAGGATCTTCAGCCTAATGCGATGAAATTTCCTTCGAGTCCCAGGTGGAGAATTTAAGTGGTTAGGTCAAGTTAATTTAAGGAAACTACTCTATAGGATGACGTTTATCATGAGCAAAGTAAACGAAGCGTGAGATAAAAAGCCACAAGGCTTTGAACAGTCGCTTCAACCCGATTAGTTCTTGTCAGCAGTGCTATCCCTTTGACCAAAATCAGGATCGAGCCGAAAACCCCAAAAATGGGAAGCAAACATCAAAAATACTTGACGACCGGGTAGTTGATCAGAATGTTTTCACTTTGTCTCTGTACACTGGAACACAACCCATCTTTGCGAGCTTTTGCCGGTTTCTCAGTTGGTTTAATCTTAAACTTGTTTCCGGGATACACCGGAAGCGTTGCCGAACCATGGAACTAAACATAACAACGGTTCTGATAAATAACCATTTCGGTTGTATAGTTGTTGTGATCCACCGATGAAACCCGAGTGTGTGCGGTAGATAATATATGTCAGGTGCAGTATATTCATGTTGGACATAATTTTAATGCTGAATGATGTCAATCATATCAAAATAAACTAACAATTTGAATGCTTTTATTTAATTCTGGGAAAACCGAAAGGTGTTATTCAAATTACCAACAATGCAAAATGGAATTCCAAGATCTTGGCGGGAATGAGATCTGTAAAATTCACGTTTCGCAAAACAAGACTAATAACCTTCAAGCAATTCAACCAGATACAGAGTCTATAGATAGATAGATAGATAGATAGATAGATAGATAGATAGATAGATAGATAGATAGACAGATAGGCAGGCAATATGTTTACCGGAATGATTGCTAATTCAGTTGTCAAAAAGATGAACTGATTCAATAATATATTCATTAAGTTAAAATATGCTTGATGTGACATTCAACTTTAATTATTCTCTGACACTCGATGTTACAGTAAAATGTAGATAGCTTTCGCTTGTAGTAAAACGGTTGCAAAAATTATTTATATATTATGCTCTCTGGCTAAATAAACTAAAGAAATTATTCACTAAGAGTTGATTGATTGCAATGCATTGTTTATCCGGACGAGAGTTCATAATTATGGTGCATTCAGAGTTATCACAATTTAAGTTTCACTAATCATTTGGGCATGTTTAACAAATGGTTAGGAGACAGAATCTGATAATGGTATATTTCCTTTAAACGTTTCCGATTGACTTTCATTGTCCGGTCTTAGATACAACTTTAGGTGAATTCATTTTTTCGTGCAGCTAAACTGGATAGATAATAAAACCCAACGATCACATGATCTGTTTGAACGACCAAGCTGTACACGAGCTCTAGTGACATGTTATTGCCTGCTGCAGCTGGTTACTGATGGGCAGCGTCAAATGGTTTTACTGGGCGCACACTATCATGATTGTTTTAAAGACAATTGGATTGCCCGTGGTTTACACTGAACGTCACATTTTCCTTTGTATCTATTGGGAAAACAGGAGCCTAAGTCCGGCTGTCAGACTGAAATAAGTTTGTTTCAACACTAGAATTTGGACACATTATACGTTCGATTTCAAGTTATTTGTTTTCTCCAGTCCAATAAAGAAAGCTGGCAAATCTTCTATTTTATTCAATCAATCACTTTTGATTATCATCTAGCTTGATTTCGATGCAATGTATATTACTACAATACAAACGAGTATCAGTGGGCATAATTATTCTCGTTGGGAGTAACGAAAACCAATGAGAGATGAATAACTTGCCGGCAAATTGAGATTGACTTCTTGGGGATATAATACAGGAAACGCGAAAACTCGTCGCCAGAGGTGATCAAGTGCTGATGTTGTCTAAACGTAGACCTTTTAAGCAAATATTTTGTAATTAGTTGATACGAACAATGAAGGACTCAGGAGTTTCTACATGTTTATATTACTTTGTTCGATTCAAACGTGTTTACAGTCTGCCAGTTTATTTAATTTCGGTTGTCTTTCATCACTTGGTTTCTTATGCTTTTATCGGGGAAATTCTTTCACCTGCAAGTTGTTCAGCTTCGCATGGATGAGCTAGTGACGTGCATTGTTTCACTGCACATCCCGTATCACTTCCACCTTCGGGTCTGTGTAACTTGTAGTTCAATCCATTCAGAGAATGAGTTTGTGCTGGGCTGTTAAACATACGAGTGCATTTGACTGTTTGGTAGGAAAATTGCCGTATTTGTTTTTACAAGGAATTTCCGATAGATGGAAAGAGACCGTTTTGGATTTGTCACGTGATGACGTGTCAACAAGTTAACAGCCAGTTGGGCTAAAAGGCGTTAATAAACAAACATTCAGTACACATTCCATTTCTATACACCTCGTGAATTCCCTCTCATTCCACTTTTGAAAATTCTTGGGGAATGAATAGTGTGGTTGCAAGCCATATCAACTTTGCCAAACTTAAAATGTTTCACATTTTGAAATAATGTTGAATGTTAAGTATAGGACATTAAAATGCGAGTTTCATTTATTTAACCTACGTTGATTTTATCCTAGTATGGTTTTCTCTAAGTTCTCTGTTCGCATAGACTACTTCCAAACCTGAAACATTCTTTGAAGTTAATAATTAATTTATTCAGGGAGGGTTTCTGAATCTTGGGGGTACATACCATGGATTATGACTATTATCCACACTAGTATAAACAGGCAAACGGACTAAGGCAAGAAACGGTTGGGTTACAAAATTTAATTAATCTTAAGCAGACCAGATTAATTATGAAGCGAATATCCGGGAAGCGTTGGGCAGCTGTTTTGAACTTGTTAGATAACACATGTAGTGTAAAGTCCAAATGATATGTGTATTGTGTATAAAGAGAGCAAAACACTTGGATAAGGCAGCCGGTAATCAAGTGAATATTATTCTTGGATTCAATTTGTAGAATCCCAAGTTCGATTCACAAAATAGGCTGAAATATTCTCACTGTGGGAGGTACTATGCAATAATGTTATATCAGTCCATGGTTTACGGCTCAATGTTTTCTTTTATGCGTGAATAATCGATTTTATCCCCATGTAAAACGGTACACACCGATGAACCCAAAAGTCATTCTAAGCAGAGTGGTTGTTTTATTTGTGATAAGAATATCACAAATGGTTTTGTGAAAAAAGCTCAGAAACAGATTTTTAGTGAACTCAAATGGATAGTTTTTTATTTCGTCCAAGTTGCACAGCTGTTATGCTAATCATCCTCAAATATATAATTATCTCTGGGTATTTTCAACCTATGATTGCTAATTACCTTATTTTATTTTCTGGATCACTGAGTGTTTACTTGATTTCACTTGAACCTGGCGAGTTGAACGACAGTGTGGATAGTTCACTTTCAAGCTCTGAATTTGGATACGTACCGCTGTTAATCAGGAAAGGTCTTTCACTCGTTCGTCAACTTGTTGGCACAATCCAAGTAACATGTTCATTATTTTACATGCCTGATACGTAGTGCAAAGCCGTATCGATTTTAGTGACGTGTTCCTGAACAACAGTTTACGTACCAACATGCATGTTTAGCTAATTCTTGGTCGATCACCGGGCACAATGATATGACAATCAAGATAAAGTCGTGGGATATTATGCACACTACGCAAGAAATTAAAACGTTCTTCTGAATGAAACGGTTCAAATCAAGTGTGAAATCGGAGGTGAACACTTTGGACTGATTATACTAGAGTAATTCAAAATGAGCAAAAGTTAAAAGAGTTCGACAAGGCATTTTTTGCCATAAAACCATAAAAAGCGCAAATGTACAAAGACGTTAGTATCAAGTATTCAACAAAAATTGTATCTGGTTGCAACTCACTGAAATGTAATGACCTTTACTGAACACATGCGGTGGTAGAATGGTTAGACGGTCAAACTAACAAGCTGGGCGTCCTGAATTCGAATCCCGTCACCCCCTCCCATCTGTCCATGATATATTTTCCCCAGGAAGCCTGTGTATGGCCGCGATCACCATCTTGAAGGTTTGTTATTCATTTTTGTAATCAGTAAACAAAAACGGAATTAAAACATATATTTTCTATCATTTATTACATCAAGTGCAATAGTCAGCCCTACCTCTTACACGCGTGATGCAACATTTCACCAATGGACGAACGCACAGTACTTTTCTATTCACACTGCTGTAGAACACTGTACATCCTATGTGTATCATTATTAAGTGAAAACTCTGCGATCGAGTTTTATGTCAAATCTAACACCATTAAACGGAGACATTCTTTATACCGACCGCGGCTCCCAAATTGCTTTTGTTTTATTCTGTTCTACTTTTTTTCCTTTTCAGGTCTGCACAGCGGTACAGTTGTTGCTGGTGTGGTTGGTGTAAAAATGCCCCGCTACTGTCTGTTCGGGAACACGGTGACGACGGCCGAACTGATGGAAGCAACCAGTTCAGTGAGTATCCGTAGAATAAATGTTCTATTTGCATCCCGTTTTTTGGTCATTTCAGGGAAAAATTGAACTGTACCCCGATTTGTCCTCTTTTTGTCCAATCTCGCTTACCCAGCTAGGTTACCGATAAGCTTTAGTTGCGTAGTGTTATAGCACAATGTTCAATGGAGAATGACATGCAATCGCTTCACATTTTAATTGCAAATAACTGCAAAACTAGGTAAGTAAAATAAATTATCTGAAATGCTTGGATGCAGCAGATAGCTGGAGAGAGTTGAAGCAACAGAGCAGGCTTATTCAGTAGAACTATCATTTCTTGGGTGTTTATGATGAGACATGTTTTTTGCTATGGCTTTGTTACTTTACAAATTGATGCATCAACTTTTATCGTCAAAAGCGAGAAATCGTACATTTTATTAGCATTCAACTAATAGAAGCGAAGACATAGTTGGATATTATTACGAATTTGTTGCACCTGATGTGCGCCAGTATCATATACAATCCGTTGAATGAAGCCGGAAAACCTAAGCGTCGGGAGGAACGAATATGATGAAAGTCAGGTTGTTGCACGAGTTTCGTCAATACCTGTATCTGTGTGCATTTGTGCATTCCGCATCAGTTGAACTGGGAGGTTTTTTCCGTGGAATGGACACTGCAAAGAGTTCATGTTTCAAAATGTGTTGTTTGTTTCGCTGGGCAGTAAAAAATTCAAGTAGGAACACAGTGGAGTTTATTATCGATATTGCTGATTTTCTGGAATAAGTTTAAATAATATTTTTTAAAATACGAATGGGTATTTTGAATTGGAGTCACATTGTCCGAATATTTGCTGACTATCTATCTATCTATCTATCTAACTGTCTGTCAACTCATTTCAGCCTCAACGCGTTCAAATTAGCAAAGCAACCTTTGAGAAACTGAGCGAATACGGGGTGTACGACATGACAGAGAAAGGAACTGTTCAAACCAAGGTGAGAGTCAACCTTTGATTAAATAAATCCAATGGAACATTTCGGCTCGTGAACATACAGTATAGCTATTCGAACTTTACCGGAAAGATTCAGCTGAACAGCAAGCCAGATTAAAATTTACTGACATCTCTGGGTTCGAATCCGAGAACAACACTGACAGAAGGATAACTAGATGTACCGGGCCTTTTATTGGTGAATGAACAATCATAAATAAATGGCAGGTGTAATTTTTCGGAAAAATACCTGTCGTTTCGAAACCGAATACTAACTGTGTTTGTCGCTGTCTCAAACGAAAATGGCGGTTCATATTTCGTTTGGCTCGAGAACAATTGTCACAACTCATCTTGGTATACACATGCATCAAATATCTTTCCAGTTTCAAACGTTCCACCTGGTTAATGTAGTAAATGGGTCATTTTTAATGACTCCACCTGAAGTCCCTATTTCTATATGTTCAGTTCCGGACATCAACAGACTACTTTTCTGATAGTGTATGATAATCTAACTAAAAATGGAAGCGAACCACGGAAATAACGTGATTGTGGTTGGTATAGGCTGAACCTGCCGACTGTACGTGTGTTTTCCTTCTGTAAGTCTTTCTGTTAGACAGGGTTTTACTTGAAGTTAATTTCAGGTCAAATGAGATTAGAAATTGGACTCGGTTTCAAACTCGAATTCACAATTATTGTTCGATTGAAGAAACGAATATCTTGACAAATAATGAAAGTCCCGACTAAGTCCACAAATGAATTGATGAATTGATTGTCGAGTAATTGGCACTTGGCATTTGAATGTAATTACCTGACGAATATGCGGACCCGGGACCGCACCGCCGCATACTAATCTAAATGAATGGAAATTGTGGTTACTGTCTGAAAACGGTCATCCTAATTATAACACAGCGTACACCGAAAATTAAACTTCCGTCCGCTCATTTGACGTTATTTTTGGATTATGAAGGATAGATGAAATTGGTGATTACCCGCGTCCTCGAGAGGAATTCAAAGTACTTGGTCACTTTTAGCGATAATATGCATTTTTCTCTGTAAACATTGATCGTGTCGTTGTGTTGTTGTGTGTCCGCATTATCTTTTTGTTTTTCTGTTTCCTGGTGACACAGTCTGGTTGTTGTCTCACTCCTCCTTTCCCTGAGAACCGATTATGCAATTCCTGAAATAAATGGATGAAACTATTCTCCTTCTCCAAGAAAAAAATTAAATGCTTAAGAAAACGCTGTGCAAAATTCGTCAGACACCATGTCTGTCCTGGTTATTTGGACATAATTTATTTTCTGTAGGCTGGCACACTCCTTTTGGAATCTGTATTCGTACTGTAGAACTCAAAATAGAGACGTAGTTTCTACGGAACTGTACAGTTTCTGATGATATAATCCATATCAAACTATAAACTCCGTCCCGCTCATGCTTCACCCCATCTAGTCGTTTACGTGCAACCATATGGTGACCACGAGGATAAGTGTAAACCCTAACCACGAAAAGCAACAGTGAGACCCTCCCTGGGACCTGGAACAGCGAACTGGAGAAGACCGTAATATATTCCAACCAAGATCAACTGCAACAGTTTATTGTGCTTGAATATGTTGGCTCGGATTACTTTCTCAGTTTTCTTTCCACTTTTGCTCCTTGATAATAACATGAAAGTTTAGTTGAAGTAAAATCTCTGTGTGTGAATGATTTCGACACAAGTGAATTGACCTCATTGTGCACTCAACTGACCGTGGATGGTGAGTTCTGTCACTAATTGACTTTCATTGAAAGTACTTTAAGATGGTTCTACGAGAGCTAATTGACGAGTTGCGGAACAAAATTACTCGTAGATTGTCATAGTTTGCTTGTTGTTGTTGTAATTATCAACTGGATTTGACCTTCCAAGTGAGTTAATTGCCATTTCTCCTTTGTTCTATCTACCTTTAATGTGGCTTGCAAATTACTTCCTCATTCAGGATGGGAATACAATTTACACCTATTGGTTAAATGGTCGTCCCAATGAGGCCGATTGTCCAAAAACGGCCAAATTATGCGCTCATCTGGCCAAAGAACGGGAATTATTGGCCGATTCAAATATGGCAGCAAATCATTCACAAACTGGTGAAGGTTGGGAGTCAGTGAGCGCCAGTCGTGGAAGTTCTGCGCGGGCACTGGCCTCGAAGCGTAGTTCCTTGGCCGCGGGTGGTCGTGCCAGCATGGGTCGTCTGTCTATGATCATGGATGACAAATTCGCGAATAAACGAAAAAGTCTCGCTCGGGTGGCCCAGATGTCACGAAAAATCAGTGGAGCTGTTTGAGCGTGGGGATTGCGCATGGGTTTGAACAGCAGCCGTACTGTCTAAGTTGCCGACCTCTCCCCCACCACCGTGCCCCAATCCAATTCGACCATACTCATATATCCATTATATGCACAAAAGTGCAGAGATTATACATGAACATTTCTCGTATAATGATTGCACACTAGATTCAATGCTATTAGAAAACAGATGAACATTCCGTTGTCATGAATACTATCACCCTGTATTTTCATCTCTATCATTCCCGAACGCATTCGAATATCTGATGTTAAAGTGTTTCTATTGCATGTGTATTATCAATTTCATTTATTATACTTCATTGGTTTTTTCATCGGACTTTAGGTTCTAAATAAGATAAACTGGTTTAGTGTCGACTAGTATATGTAAGTATTTGAAATACTCACACTGTGACAAGTGATCTGTCGACTNGCCCAGTTCATATATGGACGACATCGCAATCGAGCAAAGGTTCGAGCAAGAAGAAAGACCGTTCTACTCGACAAGAGCCGGATGACGTTCGAATCGTGTTCTTTCTTATTTGTGCAGCGTGCTTGAGTTCTACCTGTGTGGTTCAGAGTTCAATCCCCAATTGGGTCTAAAGACACTTACTAAGGATTTTGTCAGATGGAATGACTGTAGCAGGCTCTGCCGCCAAGTGGATTCATACAAAATAAAGTCATTCAGTTATTTATTATTCTTTTTTAATTTTACTTCCTTTTATTGAATACACAGTGGTACAATTTTCAAGAAGGAGGAAGCGGCCAATCAAAGGGCTGCCATGGGGAAAGTCGGCGATGGTGGTGTGGTTTGAACACACGTCCCTCGAGGTGGTGACGTTACCACCGGGCCACCACCGCCGGAGTATAAAATTATAGATAACAATTCTGACAGAATCGGAAACAACATGGTGATCAATGTGTCCACCTGTGGACAGTAGTGCTAAATTTAGGCCCCATGAAAATGTGAAAAGTAGAACATCCCGATATTTCCCAGATTGTACATGTAATGGTTGAGAGATCTGTAGCGAAGTCCTCATTATTCTGCCTGAATAGTCTCACGGAGCACATTTCAAACAAAACATCTTGTTCCGAGCAAAGTCGTTTTCAGTTATTCGTATTCAAGCCAATACATCACAGCACGCACCACTAATAATGAACAAATGTAATTTGAGAAAATCATACCGCATAGCCGGGGCTGCAGACGAATTCTCACCGCAAGTCATAGAAGCTTCTGTTACGTTTAGCGAACCGGCCTTGAACATCAACCATGAATATTAAACAGGGAACGAAAAGGCCCGGTTACGCACATAATGTGATTTATTTCAGCCCAGTCAGAAAGCACTGTACTGATAATTGACTCAATTTTTCTTATATTCATCCATGAAAGGTTCCAGAGGAAGAAGTGAGTTTACGCAGAATGAGAGACGGTAATTCTCTCTTTCGTTCCTCAGTACATAATTGACTCAGACATAAAAAACATGAAACTTTGATGTGGAGAACGTCTTATCAAGTGCGTCAGACAATCTCCTTTATATATTCTCAACTGATATGTCCCCTTGATCGGCAAAAAGGTACAGTCTTTCTCGTAATCTCGTTTCCTTCCAGATTTTTCTGTTCATTGAAATATTTTGTTAACTAAACATTCGGATACCCGTTACGTGGAAAAATCTATCTTATTGATCGGTGCTCGTCTTGTGGCATGTCTTCACTGCAGATTTTCTTTACATATCCGCTCCGTGACGAACCGGGTCCTTTTTATATATTAAACAGAACACAACTTCGAAGTTGGACGTACTGGTCTTTACAAGTTTTATTTCTCTGCACCGCTCGCTTCGTCAAATCATCTGATCAGCGACGGATACCGACACTCGGAAACAGCAGTTTGTTGTTATATTCCCTTTCTGAGGGAAACCTTGTGCGTGGAAGAGTGATGTTAAGCCTGCTTGGTAGTTCGATTTGGTTCGATGTTGCGATGATCACACAAGAATATCATTCACGTCCCGTGTCTATATTAACTCACCTTTTATGGATAAGTGTAATTGAATTCTTCAGCTTCGCATGAATAAGACCGCAAAACACAATCCCAGTGGAGACCTCATAGCTAAGGTATTCTTCCATGTGTCTTTGTGTGACTTGTATGTATCTTTTACTTCCTTTTTTATTTATTGAATATAAAAATGTACAGTCGACATTCAGTAAGGGGGCCCGCGACCATAGAAAGGCTTCCTGGGAAGACGGGCGAAGGTGGGGCGGTAAGAACCCGGGATTCCCAGGTTACGAGTTGGTGACCACTTGGCCACCACCGCCCAACATAGATCTCGTTAAATTTGAATTCAGCATTACATGTGCAGAAGTAAAGCAGCTGTTTTAAGTCATCCCAAGGAATGCAAAGGTCTAGATTATTACTTTGCCCATTACTGCACAATTATGCCATCATTTCATCGACTGGAATATCAATGAAGAACAAGCCAATATTCAGCGAGAGGACTGATTGTTCGATTGATCAAGCTAATGTCATCAGTTTTGCTCTCAGAAGCAAATGTGTCTTTAATACTGTGTTCTGCTTTCACAATTTGGACGGTTTCTAAAAATTTTTCCAGAACCTGATATGACTAGTTGCACCTATTCAAAATCAGTTATAATGCTAATCCATCTATTAGGACTTGGACAATCCTTGGAATAAAAGTACTATTTGGCCGAAGATATTCTTAGATAGACGTGTCCATGATTAGCATCTGCTTTAGGCATCGCCCCTTCTCTATGAGTTACCTTATCATTTTTCGTTGATTTAATTAATTTCAATCGATCAATTATTGTAGTATTCATCACTTGTCTGGTCTGCCTCCTAAAGCACCTTCATGAAACTTTACAAATAACAGTAACCAAAGTGAAATGGAACAAGTCGTAACCACCGACTGATTGACTGCAAGTGATAGTTGGATTTAAAGTTTCAACTTTTTAAAATCAAACTCATGAAACTGGAATTTTTCAAAACATATTTTGCATGTGGTCTCTGTGGTAAAAACAAAGTTGTCTGTTAGTTGCAGTTTTACCGGGGATTTATTTTGGCCAGCTGTATGGTTTACTCCACCAAACACACGGCTACCTAATTGCGAATCCCCGGGCCCTGACCTCTGTGATGAGTATCATTTGCAGACCGGTTCTTTTAATGAAGTGGGCACACAAAAGCCGTTTTGCACAAATACTGTCAGCCCGTTGCAATAAGTTATACCCGAGGGGTTAAATAAATTTCCTTTTGAAACCCATAGACGGTTAAGCGGTTGTTGCTGTTTATTCGGCAAGAGCAGGCTGTGCTTGTCTGTCAAATCGAGCGATTTGGGTGTGGATCGAGGACTTCGGTCTCGTTCATCAACCCCGGTGTTATCGCGTTTAAGTACTGTTGTATCTGGAATTATGTATGGCTTCAAAATTCCTACTACAGGCGGAGAAATATACGTTCAAAACTTAACCATTTATTTATCTTGCTAGTTCCTCAATGCGCATTTGATATAGTGGCATGTTGAAGATCGAATCAGAAGCATTGCAGAATACAAAATGTAAAGATGAAATATGAGTGCTTCTCGGGTGGTTTATCAGACTGAGTGATTTAACTTTCTCAAGTTGCATCATAAATAAATTCCTTTGTTTAAAGTGAGGCCCAGGGATTTTCAGTACTCACGCTATTACTACCCTTTAACTTTCAGGACTCCGCCAGAACCATCCTGAAAATGAAAGGTGCCTAGTATTTCCTGTAATACGTCAGTGAGTAGTATTTATCTGAATATTCAGTAGTTCCTCTTCTAAAGCTTTAATCATAGGGTGCAGTAAGATTTTGCTAATTAAAACTGTAAATTAGCAAAATCCGGATTATGGAGAGTGGTAGCTACCAATTACTACAGCGATCCATTGGTTCCAATTCCGACTGCACCACTGCAGCCGCCGCCGCCGCCAGTGCCGCCCATTTTTCTCATACCCGTAACCCCGCTGCGGCCTTCAATTGTCCGCAGTTTCTTTGCTGAAAGGTGATTATTTAATTACGAATTCTGAGAAAGAAATGTTCAACTTTTATTTATAATAATATCATTATCTTCTGATTAACCAAGAAACTGGGAGAGATTTCTAATTACATTTGACTCAGAGCCATATTACATTTATCTAAGAGGGCTGTTTGCGTTTATGGATCATACGAATACTGAAAACTATTGAACCAACCACGCTTCGGTATCATCTGACCCGGAGAATTTATTCACGGACAAATCACATGACCGTGAATTATCGACAGTCTATCGCCTAACTATGTGTAACAGATCACTATGGAGTGATTAATTGCTGTAAATCGGGTAATTAGGATTTCGTTGAATGGATCAATCGGATAATTTTTGTCCCATCCCATACACTTATATTAGCCTGATCAATCACGTGAGTTCATCATTGAATGCCAAAATATCACAATGGTATATTTTCTCAGCTATTCAACCAGAGTTTCGTTCACTTTATTAATTTCAGTTTCGTTGGACGTAAAATCACATCTCGAGAGGAGAGTCTAACGATATCGATGTAAAACGGACAGTGGGTATGCACGATGTCAGTGGTTCGACTGGAAGATACGAGCACGTCACAGACAGAACCCAAGTAACAAATATTCAGTGTAACCCATCCAGGTGTGGAATGTACACCATCTATGAGGCCGATATACATTATAGATTGATCGTTCCTGTACAGCAGATTTCCGATAAATTTAGTACTTCACCTCAGGGGTCAAACACATGCATCCCTAGTTATTTCCTCGCGAATATTAACTCTTTTCGGGCAAAAACTTCGAAATTTTAAAAATGCACAATCTCGACAATCATGATTCAATACTTTCCGTGGTGGTGCATAAAGAAATTGGGCACATCGGATTTTCTAACAGGATAAGCTTCTTACGTAGGCTGCTGCAGGTGTGTTTGTGGTGCAACGGTAGTCGGTCGTTTGGTGCGACAGCTATCCCAGCGGATGGAG